GGTCCTTCCCCAGAACTGGAGTGGTAGGGAGGAGTCTCCGGGACATGGAGTAATAAATTGTAATAGTGCCCCTCTTCCACTTTCAGGGATTAATGCAAAAATATATCTTACCTAAGCATTTGAACCAGCCTGAAATAAAGAAAAAAATCAGTTTCAAATATTTGGCAAAGAATTTGTTTAAGCCATGAGGGGTATGTAGCTATGTTGTTTGGCAATAGGCTTGTAACGAGCCTCCTTTCCTCTGCTGACAAAGGTAGGCCTCCAGGCAGAGTGTGAAATTGAAACTGCTCTGCATGAGGTTAAACAGTGTCTCCACTGTGAGCCAACGAAACCTCAGCAGGTTATGTCACCTTTAGGAAAATGTTTCTCTTCCTTAATAAGGATTTCTGCAGTGACTTATTCCTCCTATGGTATATGGTATTCAGTCACCCTTTGGGGGAATTTCTGGACTGAATACACACAAGCACATGGAAGCACATGTGTGTATTCAAGGAAACTTCACGGAAGGAAGGGAGGGCAAGAAAGAAGAAGAGAACAAACCTATGAGATAAAAGTAACTCACCTTTAAAAATTATCTTTAAACCTTCTGAAATGTCATCATACCTTTAACGCTTACTATGCCAGGGATTATCTTTCAGACTAGGTACCTGCCCCCCAAACACTAAATGACCTCATGAAAAAGGCCAAAACAGTGGTCTCATGATTTTCGTCTCTATTCCCAACACGCTCACTCCCTCTAACTTCATCTTTCTCTGTCTGGGACAAACCTGTGAACCTTCCAGGACATGCTGGAAGTACTCCCACCCCATCCTTTTCTTAATTTGTCCTGCCTCTCCTCAGCCAACTGTCCAGTGCTCCAGTCATCTGTCCACCTTCCCACCCAAACCGACGATGTGTGTCAGTACTGTATGCACGCGTACGGGTGTATGAGGACACAGAAACAGTGCTACCACTTTGCTCCTCCAGCGTTTCCCCTGCCACCTCTGTTCCCAGTCAAAGATTCACGAGAGAGGGAGAAGCTAAGATGGTGAGACACAACAGCACCTGTTGAACATAAGGCAGCTACCCATGGAAGTTCACCATCCCCACCTCCACTAAGACATGGTGAAACATACTGGGAAGAATAAACCTCTGAACTTGATGTTCTGGTTGGAGGTCTGGCTCCCATTTACTGGCTCTGATCTTGAGCAACTCGTTTCTCCTCTCTCAGCCACAGAGCCCCCAACTAATAAATGAAGACGACAACCACATCTAACACATGGGTCTTTGACAAGATAACATATGTGAGAAACAACTTACACATATGCCACTCATTCATCCATTCTCCTTCCCTATTCTATCGTGGTTAATGTTTCCTGCATTTCCTGGCACGGCCCTGGGAATAACTTTAAAACTCTCCAAGCCTCAGTTTCCTCATCTGTAACACAGAGATATCATCTATCTTATAGAGTTATTTTGAGAATCAGATATATATATGTTAATTACCTACCACAGCTTAGTAAACATTGGTTATTATGGTTAACAAAGTACCACGTAAATATTAGTTATCTAATAAGCTCTCCAAGGTTGTTAAGCTTTCTGATAGGCATTGCCTTCTTTGGCAACTATAGACTGTTTTTGCACCAGCAAAAAGAAAATAAAAAGCCCTCTTTCACACTTCATTCGAGAGTGTCATTCAAGAGGTGTATGACACGAGCTGGAGGAGAGAAGGAGAGAAGTTGCATCAATGGATGAAAGGCACAAAGAACAGTTCAATATCTCGCAGGTCCTGATGCTTTATACTTAAGAATGCATTTTAAAGATTGAATGACAATTATGGGAAACTTAGGCAAGGTCCAATCCCCATATTTTTTAATCTTTGATAATAAACATTAAATTTCTTGATTGAATCTCCTACTGAAACCAACAAAACAAAACTCCAGGCATCCCTGGAGTCCTTGAAGCAGAATAGTGGTGGATTCTGACCCACTCCAATCATTAACCACTAGGTTCCCAGTACAGCCTGTCCTGAGGCTGCCCATGAAATGACAAAGGGCAACTTTGAGACCCCCAGGAATACATTTGGGGCAGCTTGGTTTTAATAGCTTTCACCCTCTGCTTACATCCCATTCCCTCTAGACACTGGTCATTTCCAAAGGCACTGCTTCTAAGTTACAACCTTTTCTCTTCCGTTCTGAGGGCTTGACAATAAGAAAGTACTAGATGCACTTCTTAGTTGATATCTCGTATTTGTCAGCTTCTGCCAACCTAGTTTTCCTCTTATTACCAAACCCTCTAAATTTTCATATCACTTTCTAAACAAGCCAGTAATGTTTATGTGTCTGTGTACCTATCAAAGAACAGTGATAATAAGGGCAGGAGGGGGCATTAAAAGAAAGAGAATACTAACAAGGAGAGAAAGAATAACAGAGAACAAAGAGAATATTTCCGGCCAAATATAAGAAAGGTTTGCTAATAAGCCAGAAATTCCAAGCCCTTGAAATGTCCTTCACGATTTCCCGGGTGACCAGAACCCACATTCATACTTAAATCATCCTCTAACAGACAAGAGATCATATTCACAAACAGATCACTGGGCTGAAAAAATCAGGTTTCTTGGTATTTCTTCCACTGTATAGAGGTGCCACGTCTGGGTCTTGGGAGTTGTGGGACCCATTCCCAATGCTAAGATCCCTGTAGGCAGAGACAGTGTCTGTCTGGTTCACCACTTCACCCCGCCCCCTGGAACAGTGCCCGGCACTCTGGAAATGCTTGTTAAACACATGAATAATTCCCCATCACTTCGCCCCATAGTCCTCATCTGTAAAATGAGGTGGTTGGACCAGGCATCTCTAAGGCCTACGGTTCTGAGACTCTCTCCAGCTAACAGTGCACTGTGACCAAACCCCCTCTCCACAACTAGGCCATCATGATTTAATGAGGAGAGGAAGCAGGGGACGCTGTCTGACAATACCAACCGTATTTCCACTTGTCTTGTTTATTAGCAGCAAATAGTTAATCGTTCTCACACCCCAGGCACCTGCTTTCACTTGAATCGAGTTTAATTTACACATAGCTATGTTATGACTTTCTGCTGTAGCTCAGACTGGCTGTGCTCCAACTTTGGATTTCAAAGGGGAGCGTGATCAATGCGTTCCCCACAACTCCACTGGCCTAATCATTAATCCCACGTCCTCCAGGTTGTTAGGCTGCCCAGGCCCCAACAACAGAGGCATCCAGTCAGCCAGCCGGACAGCACAAGTACAAAATCATATAAAGCAGATTATTCCTCAAATTTAATTGGGTTAGAATTAGCACAAAGATTTGGTAGTCTAACAGAACCGGTACCTGCTCTCAAGAACTCCTCACTGCACCAGAACTAGCAATCTTCACTCTAAAGTATTAGTGACTTAGTGTAGCTACCCTGGCAGAAGTAATTTACAAGTCTTAAAACATGTATTATTCGGAAATAATCTCAAAGTTACAGAAAAGCTGAAGGAATAAGAATAGCACAGTGAACACCAATGTAGACCCTTTACCCAGATTTACCTATTGCTAACATGTCACTCCATTTTCCATTTGTACCCAAGCCTGCTTTCATATGCCCATGCTTGCACTCTCTCATAGGTATATCTCCCCCGGAACCATTTAATCGTAAGTTGCATATATCATGGCCCTTTACCCCAAATAAAAAGAAATGAAATTTTAAAACAGAATAATAGGAAAACAGAACGTTTACCAAGTTTTAAAGTCACCCACGACAGAATTTCCAGGATGGCAGCTGAGCAGCACGGGAGATCTGTTCAGGCTGAGGCTTCCTACCACTCCTAGATGGTCAGCCCATCGTACTCCTGAGGTTGGCCTTGATCCCAGCCAAAAAGCAAACACACATACACCCCTCTATTTTATTCTAGGAGGAAGAGATCCTTGACGCTAATGAGGAATGTTGACGCCTGGCAGCCTCCGTTTTGCTTTGGGAAGAGCACAGGGTGATGCAGTAGCTTATTTTGCTCCAGAGAACAGAGAATCTCGCTCCACAAGGACAATGTGACAAAGACAGCCCGCTTTCAGAAACACCTCTTCCGCTTGTTCCTTTCTCCCTGAATTAAAAATACAGCCACTTAAGTCGCTGCACAAGACAAGAGGTGGAAAGGGTTGCCCGCCACCTTCCTTGTTTCTGTAATCCTCAGAGGGCAGCAGATCACCACCTGTGGAGCCCAGCCGAGGCCGGTGCAGCAGGCAGCCAGGGCACCTCCACTGTTCCCTAACGCCAACGTGCCCTTGCTTTCCAAGGCCCGCACTACGAGAGCGAGAGCGCAGTGCAGGTGAGGGGGAGTAAGTGATGTAAACACACTCCATTATCAATCACACTACAGATAAAGGGCTCTTCTTCCTTTGGCAGCAAAGGATTTTGCATACTTGGTAATTACTGTTAACAAACTTTTTAATACATGACTATATCCCCTAGAGATAAATAGGCTTTCTTGTTGAAATTACTTTCTTAGAAGCCCTTCCTTACAGCATCTATAAAATCAATAAAATAGAAAGAACAATTTTCGTAGGTCCAAAATATTTTGAAAAAATTAACACACACACAAACTAAAACAGAAAAGAAGCACAAACTGGGTATGGAACGCACGTGTAGTTCTCTGCATATCCCACAAAGACTGTAATCATTGAAATCAACAGCACGCTTCATTGTCAAGGTAACTCCAAGGTAACTCAGATTAAGTGAATCCAAAACATTTACCTGGTACTAAACTTTTTTTTTTTTTTTTAAGAGAATTGCACACGCACAATGTAGCACAAAGGCAGACTCAAAGTGAAAGGAACCTAAGAAGAAAGAGTAGGTTTGCCCCAGAGTCTATCAGTAAAGTATTCACATGGTGAGAGCTTTATGAAGACATGTATAAACACGTACTTCATCAGAAAACAGTCTGGCAAAGAAATGAGGAAAGGAAAGGTAAGAGGATAAAGATGCTGGCGTGGCTCTGGGGCAAACAAAAGATCCCGGAATCTACCTTGCTTGGACGCCCTCCGTCGAATCCTCATTTTGGGAAAGGAAGGCCACGAGTAGTTAAAAGGTGGGTCCGAGTCAGAATCCATCTTTTCGTTTTGGTGAAATCAACAGATTCAAGGGTAGAGTCCCAGCCAGGAGGCGAGCCTCCTGTGTGATGTAAAGGGAAGGAACGGGGCTGGTGAAGAGCCGCCAACACCAGGAGGGAGAGGCAATCAGTGTTTTTCTTCCTTCAGGCGTTCAGGCATGTAGACAAGGAGGCGGCTGTAAATGCTAAAGCCAAGCTAGGGAAGTAAGAGGAGAGAGTGGTGGCTAGAGTCGCACTGGTACACCACAGTCCAGTTATTCAAAAGGTCACTGGGAGCAAATGAATCATTAACGCTCCTCTTCTCGTCACTGGAAATGGAAATGAAGAAGAAAGGTAAGCAGGACTGAGAGGGCGCTGCTGTGATTCCAGACAAGCTCCAAATGCAGGCACCTGCTCTGTTCTGGCGCTCGAGTACCATTTCTCAGAAAAGCCTCCCAGCGCAGTGTGAGATAAAGGTTGAGGTTTACTTGTGTGGACAGCCAGAAAGCTCGATGCACAGCAAACAAAGGCCATCAGACTCAGGGCAGGGATCTTTCCAGAGCAATCTATTCTTTCATCCCATTGGCAGCTCTGGCAGCTTTTCAGATTCTAGGGCCAAAACAGCACTGATAATTCATTTAAAAATCCAGTCTCCCCATTCTTTTAATCCTAAAGTGGTTGGACACTTTAACTTTCATACAGAATTGAACTCATCTCATTAAATTCATGCAAGCAAAGTCATCTACTACTGCTTAGCATAACTGGGGCATTTTTCTTCAATTGTCACCAAGTGTGGGCATCAATCATAAGGATTTGGGTGCCTTCAGAGCTCTGATCTAAACTTGCAGTCCATCTTAGTGGAGCTAGTGACTAATTTACCACAAACCAACAGTTCTTGCGCAGTCTCCCTGAACAGCTCTCCAAGAATTAGCATTCAGTAGAAGCCCATTACCACCTCCCCATAAATCGTGACATTGCTCACACTCACTTCCCTCCTCCCTCCAGGCACACAGATACATGTGCCCCAAATAAGTGCAACAGCACAGCAGCCAAGATCTGCGGCAGAAAAAAGTATATCCCCAGTACCAGAGGAGAGTCTCTTCTAAGCATTTCTTTTAGCAGCAGCGATAGCAAGAGGTATTGTTGTTTTGTGAGGTCGTCTGATGCCCAAATAAACTAAAGGAGAGTGGAATATCTGTTCAACTATGCAGATCTGGAACATGACAATATGTGTCTTAATTAACACTCATCTCTTTACTTCAATTATTCCCCAAATTCTTGGCACTATCGTGCCACGCTGCATAAGAAAACAGAAGCACATCCTGTCCCGTGACAGCTAATCCTATCTGATTGGGTAGGGGTGGGGCGAGGGGCACAGATAGAAGTGGCAAAAGGAGAGAAACCACTTAATTTCAAATTCAAATCAACATCAGAATGACACAATCACTACCATGTTTTTATATGGTTTGCTACATACATATAACATACAACTAAAACGAAACACAACTAGAAGAGAGTTGCAGGCATTACAACAAAGTGAAAATAAACATTAATACATTTTCTATTTGGTAGTCTTCAAGAAAAATATGTAATTATTTTTCAAATAAATCAGCTGGGTGCAAGTGTAAGGATAAATTATTCTCAACCCTTACATCAGCTAAGAGAGTTTTAGTCCTTAAGGATCTTTAATAAGAAAATAGATAAAATTTTGTGGATGGGTGTTTCCATTCATTCTCAGTTTTAGGGCTTAGAACAGTGCCAGAGACACTGCAGGTATGTGCTGAATGAATGAATGATTTACACTCACTAGTCTCAACCTGTGGATGAAGAATCTTTGCATGACAGCTGCAGTATTTTTAATATCCTCTGATTGAAAACATGTTATCTTGACAAAAACTACAAGTCTTGTAAAGTGTTTAAAAATGTATTTGTAGTTTATTCATCACAACAGTACCTATATTTGAAAAAAAGAGCAGTAGAGAAAACCCATTGTTCTTCTAAGGCTACAGGCCATTCTTGGGGTAAGCATAGATCCATGGACCCTTGGCTGCCTCAGAGACATCCAGGAATCTCCACCAGTAGAGACCATCACCAAACTGAAATGAAAGTGTAGGATCAGGAGATACTGTGTTCTTTCTCATTCTCATGCATGGAGAAGTTTGAGAGCCACTTAACTGGGATAAATCCCAGGTCAACAAACTACTGCAGCAGGCTGCTCCTCTCTTGAGCATCAGTGACAGATCAGAAGAACTTCAGGACAATGCAGACAGAGAGAGCTCTGAAAGAACTTTGTAAAATGCATTCCTGTTAGCTGAGATGCCAGGCAGATCCAGCTTAATCTAATTTTCCCCAAACCACAGTCCTCGTTGACCAATTACATATCACTGGTTATTGACACAGAAATTATTCCGACAATAAAACTACTAGAACTACCCAATCAGTACCTGTTAGACACTCAGCAAGATTTTCTAATCTCATTTGCCTTATGACTTATCAACTTTTAAAGAAATGATTTCCACTGACGAGCCATACAGAGTTAACACACAAAGTGAAGTAGAAAATCTTGTGTTTGCACAGCCTTTTTATTTTTAGGCCAGCTCATTTTCTGCTCAAAGAATTTCTCCTGAATGAATGTGTGTCATTTACCTTCCTTGTTTTCTATAGTAATTGATTTTTTTTCCCCACTGTGTCAATATGATTGCATTTAAATTAAGATGTTATTTACATCTCAATCATATTCAACGGGTTAATTTCTTTGCTTTCTCTGGCTGATTGCAATTGCATTGGCAGAATTCAATGAAAATATCCCCAAAGCCACTTTCTCACCAGATATCACACAACCATTACAATATACAGTGTGAATGACTTCATCACCCTTACTGTGCCTCCTTGAAACAGAAAATCCTTGAATTAGAAAATAACCTCTATGAGGTTACAATGACCCAGGGCAGACGCTGCTGCCCTTGAGGTCCAGCTTACTGGAAGACCCGTAGAGAAGGGAAACTTTCCTTGATTCTCCTCATCTAGACAACATGTCCCCTACCCTTCAACCTTGATAAAATTAAACCTCTTTAGAGGGTTATTTATATTTTTACTTGAATTATAGTATTTGTACAGTTTTCTTATCCTCCAATGGGACCCCAAATTCCTTGAGGGCAAGAACTATGTCATACTCATATTTTTAAGGAGCCACAAGCCAAAAAGAAAAATCATGGGTTTTTAGAGCCATATATATCTGGGCCCAAATAGTAGTTCTGTCACTTATTTACTTGGTCGCCCTAACCAAGTCCCTCATACTTTCTGATCCTCAGTTGTTTCACATAAAATCAGATCATAACATCTATACTTCAAGAGTTGAGAGGATCAAATGAGATTATAACATTAAAGAACTTAAGTAAGTTTTCAATAACTTTTAGCTTAAATACTAAACATAAATTTTACCTTTCATTATATTTCTCTTTTACATTATAGACACTGCAGTATTCTTATCTTTAACTCAGGAGTAATAGCTCAATTTTCAAAGTTGAGACATGGCAATGTACAAAGTATTTTCAAGACAATCCTACCAAGACAGAGAGGAGGAGGGAGAGGAGGACTTATCTTGCTTCTCCACTCCATTGTTTGACCACCAGAGACCACAGTGTTTCACACTGCTAGACATCATGCTTGGAAAAAGTCATAAAAATACAAACAAGAGATGGCAAGACCCCTAATGCCAAGACAAGCCTATCCTAGATAACCTCAGCCAGTACAGTGACAATTTAATGTAACCTTGGGTTCTTCCTCAAAAATCCCTTAGAAGGCACCATGTCATCTCTGTAAGTTCAACACCAGCCATTCTTCTTTGTTGAACATCATTACTTGGGTCGGGCACCAGGTGCAATGGTTGGCTTTCACTGAAAGGCCATGTTATACAGAAAATGAGGATCTTTAAAGCACAGCTCATATCCATGTGGTAAGAGGCCCTCATTATGAGCAGCATGGTGGGAATGGTATATTCACATCTCCAGGGTCACGCCCACTCAGGGACAGCATACTCATAGAGTGAAATCACAGGTATAGCCACCTCAAGGTTTAAATTATTATTTTTCTCCCTACCTCCCCATTCTGTGTGTGTGTGTTTTTTTTTTAAACAGAGACCATAAAATTGAATTCACATAAAATAGACATGATTTGGGAGCATGGTATAACAACTGTTGTCATAAATTGGAATGCCAGGATGCCACCATTCATAATACCATCTTACTTTAAAGATAAGGATACTTTTTACTTCTTATCTGCCTTTATTACCTTGATTTATTTGAACAAAAGCCTGCATGCCCCTTCAGAGGTTCTGATATGTCCCCTTATATCACCCTATGGACTAAGGGAAAAAATGGATACAACTAGAAATCCAACAAGATGACATTACTTGTATTATGAGATATCCACATACAGTATAAGAAGAAAATACCTAAAACACTTCAGGACAGGAAAATAATAGATTTCTTGACTGAGGCAACATATTAAAGAATTAGATTGTCAGAGCTTCTACCAGCATTCAGTATTGTTACAGATATAGGTTCTACTTAGATGATTCTCTTAAGAAAATAAAGATCCTTGGTGGATCTCTCTTTGTTTTGAACATTGAAGTTCCTGGGCATAACCTGAAAGGAAAGAACTAGGACAAATTGGCTAAATTTTTCTGAACAATAAATTACAAGGAATTTTGAATCTATCTTGGAAAGGCAGCTGTGTACAGTGGATGTGAGGGGCCGTGGAAGAAGCAAGGACAGCCACAAGTCTGGGCAGAGAAAGGATGGAGGGGTAATGGAGCATCTCGTTATAGCCCAAGAAGAAAAACATTCCTCGTAGTAGGAAGAACCGAAGCACTTAGGGAGAGCAACATCTACAATTGCATTTTGGGTTTTTTCTGATAATGTTCCAATTCCAATTTTCCCAAACCTGCCAAAAAAGTTTCTTATATGCCACGGATTTATTCACAAACATTTCATCATGTTAACATTCAAAGTTCAACTTATTGTTGTATAGACTTTTATATGGTCATTCACATGTAAATATGTTAACAATAAGGTATAAAATGACCAAAAATTTAAATAATTAGCTTTAACAAACTCTAAACTATCAATTCCACAGTTTTGAAGCTAAAATTCACACAAAATGTAACAGATAATCCTAGTTTTAAATAAAGGGTGGCTCATCTTGGATATGCTACTGGAGTGTTGTTGCTTCCAGGCCCGTTGAACTAACAAGGGCAAGGAAATACGTATGTGTGTGTCCTAACCTTTATATATACACATATCTACAAATATTTTTATATGCAACCATGTGTATCTATATTAATGTATAGATAATATATAATGTATCTATATTATCTATCTATGATCACGAGTGCATACTGATGTCTGCAACTCTAATCCATTAGCACACGGATCATTCTAGCCTCCTACCCTTGCTTATCTACAAATTCCCACTCCAACAGTGAGGCCCCTGGCACCTACCATCCGTAATCCATTTACTTAATTGTTCATTTCCAGGACACACGTATAGGGGTATCAGAATTGTTAACCTGTACCCCTGTGGGAAACAACTTTATCACCTAGAGGACAATGCTTATGCAGTTTCTTTTGCCTTTATTCTTACAGATTCTCCTCATTTCCAAAAGTACTGAGGCCTGCGCCCCTCATTCCCTACCGTAAGGTATTTCATACATTTTTAGCACAGTTAGATTGTTTTGTCACATTCTGCATTCCATCCTAGGATCTTCCAACTTAATTTTTTTATTTGCACACATTAAAGTTTACTCTGTGTGCCATAAAGTCCTATGGCTTTTGACAAATGCAGTGTCCTGTATCCGCCATTACAGTATCATAAAGAATACTTTCACCACCCAAAAAAAACACCAAAACCACAATGATCGGAAACATGAAGAACACAGACGCTAACTGGAAGAGCTCCCCATTGCCAAAGCTAGAACACCATGAACAAAGTAGGACTAGATTATTACTCAAAGTGTAAAATAAATATCCACAAATCCAGACTGACATAAATGACTGAATAAAAAAGTGGGGGGATAGCAGTCTCCCAGGTGGAAGAATTCCAAGTAATTTCTGCAGATACTTTGCTCCCAGGGAAGGACACAGCTAACTCCCCACACCTGCAGTACGAGCTGCCCCTCATGACCCCTCCA